GGCTACCCCTCTGATACTAAAAAAAAGAATGTGGTTTATAATAGGGTCCTGACTTATTTCCATCAGTACTAGAAGTTGTGAAACCTGACTTAAACCTTTACTTCTTCACTTGGGAATGACACAGATTCATTCTATTGCCCACATGATACAACTGAGTATTTCTTTAATCTCTTTGTTGCAGTTCCTCAGTCTTTATATGCTGATGGATAAATGGATATATACCCCATTTATTCCATTAATATTCAAACACTGTATTGTGTTCATTCTCTCTCTCTCCTTGTTTTTATCAGACTATAAACAACTGTAACTTGTTTTATTAATAGTTCATACTTTCTTTAACAGGAGTTGCTAAAAGATCCCTTATATATTGGACTGAGGCACAAAAGAGTCAGGGGTCAAGCTTATAATGACCTTCTTGATGAATTCATGCAAGCTGTGACTTTCAGGTAGGCAGTATATTTGTTTTATTCACACATCTGTATTCCACTGAACTTCAGTCTAGGGGAGAAAGTATCCCAGTTCTTTTTTTTTTTTTTTAAGTGGGTTGGGAAGGAAATGGGGAAATTGTTGGAGTTTGTTTTTCACTTCCTATGTATATTATTTTTAAGATTTGATCCATTATGTCAACTTTGTCTTAAATACTGAGTTATTGTGAATTCATTAAATTTTTATAGTAAAATTACATAAGTAAATTAGCTTTAGAGGTGTGCTAACCAGTTCTGGTCTTTCAAGGTTTCGATTGAGGCATTAGATTGCAGCCTAACAATGCCCCCACCTCAATCTTTGAAACTATAATGAGATCTGAACCCATCTGCTGTACTCTAAGGCTTGTCTATTTCTTGTGCCTAGAGTGCACCATGTATATTTGAAATCTCAGAACTATTCAGATTTTGCAGGTGTAGAAGAATCTGTCGAGTACTCAAGTGCAAAGAAATGGGGTGTCTCCAGGAGCTTCTGCAGTGAGGCCCAGCAGAAAGATTGTCAGACCCACTGGCATGTGGTGTCAGAGTTTCAAAGAGATAAATTAAGGTGTGAGAAATACTGGGATACAAATTTACTGATTCAGTCCAGTCTTGGAAAATGATTATTTGTCCCAAACTTGTTCAGTTTTGAACCCAGGAGACATGTTTTGGGGTTTCCTTACATTAGTTTCTCTCTCCATCCAGGAGAGAGAGGATATATTCATTTCTGTTGTTGAACAGTACCTGCAATTGACACTCAAAAAGTGTGCTAAATTAATTCAAACAAACAAGGCCACCAGAGATCAGACAATATAGCAAAAAAAATGGAACTTTAGCTAATCGCCTATAGACTTTTTGTAGGCTCCAACAAGGTAATGTGTTAGCTGTGATTTTACTGCATGGTACAAACAGGGGCATTGCACCACAGCAGGTGTTGGCTAGTGGGTCTTCAGGGGCCCTACAAAGAAAAAAAAAGGTAAGTTTTTCGTTATGTTTGTGCTAAGTGCTCCTTGGTTGGTTAGTGGAGTCATTCCGCACATTTTGCTGAATTGCAGTGCATAAAGTTTTTGTAGTTTACCATTAGCACGTGAAATATTATGTCAAACTGATTACTATTATCAAGTAAATCCTCATATATTACGTTTAGTAATGTAAGCATGGTGGAGCCTATCAAGCAAGTGTAGGTGTTTTTGACTGTTATATAATGTAAATAGTAAATGACGTGGCAAAACTTCCCTTACTCTATACCATTTTCACAGGAATGTTTTAAAAAATATAAATTTTGACCTTGAAATACTATATATGGGCAGCAATGGATGTAAGTCTATAATGGATCCAGATCCACTAAAACGTTGCCCCCATTTCCCTTTAACTAACCAGAAAGCTAGCTAAATGAGCAGTGTATACCAGCTTGGGGTTTGTGCAGCTGTTGCCTTTCTTCCTTTCCCTTTGGTCCTGTAATTGTGACTTAATGGCTTCAAAAGAGGTATCTTGGGCCTATGGTGCATCTTCTTCCTACGGCTCTCTGTGAGCTGAGGGGTGAAAACATTATCTACCATCTGTTATGGACTGACTCAGTGCTTTATATGAGGCCCTTCCAAAGCAGGATGAACTTCCAAGGATCCTGTCTTAATCAATCACTGCATACAGGCCTATCATAACTTAGCTCTTCTTTTTCTTTTTTCCTACAGAAAGTCATTGATTTTTATAACTAAGATTTGGAATATAATTTTGTAATTTTCAATTATCAAATAATGATTTCTGAAATTTACCCAGAATAATTTCTGGTCATTAAACATTTGGTGGTCTAGTGTTTCTTTGGGTTTACGTACCTAAAATTTGTTAACTGTTAATGCTCAAAATCTCGGTCTTCACTGAGTGAGTCTTCCTGTAAGTCCTCCGGTACCAGTTCAAGGCATTGTAAATACAAGCACTCACTGGCTCTGTCAGAGGCAGTACCATTGACTCCAGCTCCTCTGGAGCCATCAAGTCCAGGGCCTTTGTCTTTACTGGACCCTGGATGTACAGATGATCCCGACCATCTCAGTACCATCGGCTCCAGCAGCAGTGCAAGCACTGAGAATAGGTGGCTTGGCAGAATCTGAATTTTTTTATATAATTTTGACAGATAATATAGATGTTTATTGTTAAGCATTTTTTATTTTTATCTATTTAAATTTTCACAGTTGGGAGCAATTATGGGGTGTGGGAAGGTCAGACATTAATTATTGAAAGACAGTAGGCACTGAAATTAAAAAAGTTAAAGCTATCAAAATGCTACCCCTACTCCAGCTCCACTAACGCTGGGCTCACAACATGTTTTATAAATGTTAAGGTGAGGCTCTAATAAGTTCCCAAGCAGCATTTTTATTACTTTGTATTGGTGGAAATATTTTCTCATTGGTTTGTGTATCTACAGTTGTTTATCAACATTTATAAATAAAGATCTTATCCTTCCAAGCCTAATAGAGGACTTACCTGTCTCAGTGCCTTGACTCATCAAACCTTCGTGGCTGCAAGGGCTCTTATATGTCTCCCTTTACCAGACTCTCCACTACTACTAATGGTGTAGTATTTACCACTATGGGTCTTTGGCACTGTTGGTCCTGTTAGTACAGTCAATGAACCTGGCACTGTCAATGCAGACACTTCTGGCATGGTTGGCACCAACAGTGTTTTCAACAAACCTAATGCAGGTAGCACCACAAGCAACTCTGCTGAGGTCAGCTTTGCCAGCATGATCAGCACCACTGGAGTCTTCAATGTCATTGATGCTGTTGGCTTCAACCCCGCTGGCACTGTATCAGCATTTAGACCTCTTCATCCCATACTGTGGTATACAGACCCCAGGGTGTCTCCCACATCAAGAGCTCCATGAACCCAACAGGAATGACCCCTCCACTTCCTGAGAAATAATACATTTCCTCTTCAAACTGAATCTGAGAAGCACATGTCACCACCCCAGTCTTTCAGATCACCTTGTACACGTCATAACTAGAGATGCAGGCTTTATGGACTGTGGATGGTTTTCCTACAAGGAAGCCCCAAAATGGTGCCCTCCACATGGGCACTCAAATTGTGCAGTACTCGGCATGGCCATACTGGTGGTTGCCCATACCAAGGGATTTTGAAACTTCCATCAGAATCTAATACCAGAAGGAGGTCCCCTTTTCCAGTCCAAGAAACCTCTCACCAGGCTACCCTGACAGTTTCTCCTCTCATGGGTTTGAACCATATTGAGCACCCCTGGATGTCCATCCACACATTTCTTCCTCATCTCCAGATGAAACTGAGTCCTCAATCTCCACAGGACTTTAGGGTCTTCCTGGACCTAATGAGAAACATGGCCACTTCTTTAGGAGAATAGTTGGAGCTTGTTCAAGAAAATCTGCACAGTATCCTCAATATTTTACAAATCCCTGCTCGAGGAAGGGTTGCCTTTCCCATTAACGAATCCTTGCTGGAGCTATCGAAAACGGTTTGGCAGACTCCAACCTCTATACCACCTGCAGCAAGAGATTGGACAGATGCTACCAATTTAATCCAAAGGACTTTGATTATTTTTTCATACATCCACTCCCTGACTCGTGATGGTCCTGGTGGTCCTCCAGTTTCATCCCAAAGCCACTCCTAAAGAAAAGGAGCTCAAGAGACTGGATATGTATGACAGAAAAGCTTAATCCACAGTACAGCTACTCTGCAAATGAAGATGGCTAACTATCCAGATTTCCTGTCCAAATATAATTTTATTAACTTAGCTAATGCTGTAAAATTTTTAGACAAACTACTAGAGGAGTATAGGGAACAGTCTATGGCTCTTGTCTCACAGCAAAAACATCCCTCCAGGCAGCTATTGATGCAGTTGATATGGCTTCACAATTGATGGCCACTGCCATTGGTGTGACATGTTCTTTTGGCTGCAGGCATCTGGAATTCCAAAGGAGCTGCAAAATAGAATCAAGAACTTGCCTTTTGAGGGATTTAAGTTGTTCTCTGAAAAGACTGATGCCACCATTCAGACCCTGAAAGTCTTCCAAGCAACTCTGAGATCTTGAGAAATCTTCTACAAATTACATTTCCAGCAGAGATTTCAGGGCTCTGCTAAAGGGCGATGTCGGCCTTCTTGATATTGCCAAATGGCTTTGTCTCAATCAGGCCCTTCTCACCAGACATTGACAGCCTCCTGGGCAGTCGTCATCACTGCCTCCTCAAGGGCAGCATACCAATCTCAACACCTCCCACCCTTTGGACAACAACTGTCACTCTTTCCAGTGTTTTGAATGAAACAACATTGAACACATGATTGCTCAGAACTATGAAAGAGAGAGATCTTATCCAGTTCATCTCTCTTCCCTTTTCAGGGACCCATCTCACAAGATCATGTTGCTTCAAGAAGTATGGTCTCTTCTGGAATTGAAAGTGACAGACGTTCCTTGTCATCACAGAGGGAAAGGAGTCTATTCCTGTTACTTCCTAATTCTCCAAAGGTCTGGGGATTTACGTTCATTTAGGCCTCAGGAAGATGAACTGCTTTATCAAGAAAATCAAGTTCATGATGGTTACCTTCACTTACACTATCATTTTCCTGGAAAGTGGAGATTCGTATGCTGCCCCTGATTTGCAGGATGCATCCTTCCATGTGGCAATATACCTGGCCAGAGGAAGTACCTTTGCTTTACAGCCGGAGACATCCACTACCTGTACGCAGTGCAGACAGTTTGGTCTGTTGTCAGCAAGGATCTTTACAAAATGCATGGTGGTGGTAGTGGCACACCCATGCCTCTGAGGTGTCCAAATTTTCCCTTACCTGGGCAACTGACTTATGCACAGAGCCTCAAATGTCCAAATCCACAGCAGCATCCTCATTATCAGACCGCTATTCTCTCATCTGGGCCCAAAACTGAATTTAGACAAATCAGTTACAGCTGACACAGCATATTATGTTCATAGGAGCAGATCTTGATGCCATAATTACAATGGCCTAT